CAGCTGAGGGAGAGGGATAATCGTGCAAGATGATACAAAAAGATCGGCAAGGACAAGATCATGCAAGGCCTTGTAAATGACGTCAGAGATCGGCTTTTATTCCAAGCAGTCTTGGAAGGGTCTTAAGCAGGGAAATGGTATAAACATTTATGTTTAGAAGATCACAGTGTGAAAAGTGAAATGAAGCGAGGCAAGAACAGAAACATCAGGTGAGCAGCTTAGAAGGCTGTCACAGTGGTCCAGGGGAGGGTTAATGGTGGTCTGGAAGGAGGGGGTGGGGCAGGCAGAGGGATGACAGATTCATAAGATATTCAGAACCAATAGGACTTGCTGAGGATTGGCTGTGGGATGTGGGGGTGAGGTGTCCAGGAGAACTTCCAGCTTTCCAGCTTGAGCAAGTGGGTGGGAGGTGGTGGCAGAGAAGAGCTGGGGACACTGGAGGCAGAGCAGGTGCCTGCAGATGGAGCTGTGGATCTAGGTTGGGACCTGAGGTTGATTGTGTCACATCTAAATGTGGCCCAGGAAGCAGTTATAACTGCAGGTTTTGAGCCCAGAAGAGATAAAGTCAGTAGGGTTAATGAGATTACCTGGTGGGGGGGTAGAGTGTGCAATAGAGTAAGAAAAGGGGTCTGGGTAGCTCTGAGAAATCATGGTAGCAGCAGGGCCCGGGGGCAGAGTGACCGGGAGTTCTGGGCTTAGAAAATCAGAGCCATGAAATCCAAAGGGTACTTGGCTCAGGCCTGGGAGGCATCTGGCTTTGGTCCCACCTTTCCTGGCCAAGCATGACGCCTCGGCACAGGCACTTCCCAGCTGAGACAGCCCTCCCTTCCCCACCGCAGCTTCCTCCTTGGCGAAGTCCAAGTTACCCTTCAGACCTAGCTCAGGGGGCCCCTCTTCCTAGTTGACGACTTCCCTGATCTAGGCAGGTGCTCTGCAGTCCAACAACCTGGGTTTGAATCCCAGCCCTGCCTCTGGATGGCTGTGTGACTTTGGCCAGGAAACGTACCTCACTGTCCTCATCTACACAACAGAAATAACAGTAGTACCTGCCTCATCGGGCTGTGTGAAGATGAGCATGTAACGTGCTTAGCAGAGAACCTAGCACACAGTAAGCACTAAATAAATGTTACTATTATTAACATCACACCCACTTTGGGACAGTTAGTCATGTCCTCCACCTTATGCCTCCTCCACTTCGGAACTATTTGCAGGCCGGTGTCCCTCCCTGCCTCTTCCTACCCAACTTGTGGGCCTGTATAATGCAGGGCCCAGTGCTAAACCAAAATGCGGGACTCCTTGTTCAAAATTATTAAGAATGTTAAAATTATTAAGAATTATTAAGACAGCAGAATATTAAGGCAAGTGTGGGATCCTTCTAAGTGGGATCCTTCCTGTGCAACCAGAGACTCATGAAACCAGCCCCGTCCTTGCACCCAGCCAGCCCCGGGCCTGGGCCTGGCCCAAGTAGGTGTCAACCTTCATGCAATAGAGTAAAAATGCCAGCTGACAACTGAAATGGTTTCGTGCTTTCCATCTGGAATTTCATTGTATCCTTCCCATAGAGAGATAACATCAATCCCCTTTTAGAGTCGAGGACATTGGAGTTCAGAGACGGGGTGTGCCTTCCAGCTGGAATGTGAACATAGGGTAGTTGGCTCCAAAGCCCTGCCCTGTGCCCTCTGGCTCCACAGGGAGGTCAGGAGATCCTGACCCTGAGGGATGAACTTCGTCAACAAGACCCCGAGGGAGGGAACTGGAGGGACTGGGACTGGTCCCCTCCCTCCTGGGATGAGCCACATAAACAACCAGCTCCCTGGGCACCAGGGCTGCTGCACAGGGAAAGGGGTAGGAGAAGGCAAAAGGTCACTCCTGAGAAGGTTGTGCCTGAGGACCATA